ATCTTGAAAAATCAGTTTAACCCATTAACCAAACAAACTAGAAAAATTATATGATTTTCTTACTGGATACAGAAAAAGACATTTGAAATATTTATTGTTTATTCATGACAGGACAAAAAACAACCCCTGGAAAACAGAAAGATTTCCCTAGAAATAGAAGGGAACTTGCTTAATCTGATACAGAGAATTCACAAAAACATTATTGGCAAACAGCATATTAATGATGAACTATGAAAAGTATTTTCCTAGAGATAAGGAACAAGACTTAGATGCTCAATAGAACACTGATATTCTGCATTGTACTCATGGCCTAACCAGTGTAAGTAAATGAAGTAAAAAGCAAGTAAATGACATAAGCATTATAAAGAGACAAAAATATTATTGTTTGATATATAATTTTGTATATAGAAAATAAAATAATCTATTGGATATGTGAATTTAGAAGTTCATTGTAAACAAATAATTGTACTTCTACAAAATAGCAATAAAGAGAAAAAAACGAATTTCCAAAATGATACTATTACCAGCAGAGTAAAAAAACAAACAATACATGCATCTAACCAAAAACGTGGAAAGCCTCTACACTGAAAACGAAACCAGGACTTAGAAATATTAAACATGATCTGATCTACATAACGGAAGGGATATTCATCTTCATTGACATGGAAATTCAATATTGTAAAGATATCATTTCTCTCCAAATGGATCTATAGTTTTAGTACAATCCCAGTCCTAACAAATTTTCTTGTGTAATTTGATAAACTAACTCTAAAATGTATATGGAAATTCAAAGTTTCAAAAATAGTCAAAGGAGTTTTGAAGAAGAAAGCTGGAGGATTTACCTTACCAGAAATCAAGTACAAAGCTTTAGAAACTAAGGCAGTGAACTGTTGGCATTAGGATAGACTCCTCTCCCCTGCAAAAAAGAGATAGACCAAAAACAGATTTATGCAAATATATTCACCTGATTTTTGATCAATGTGATGCTGCAGTGCGATAGGGAAAATATTTTTTCACTAAATATTATTGGATCAATTGGTTATCCTTTTAAGAAAAATAAATCTTGACTTCCTATCTTATAGTACGCATAAAAATCGATTCTAGATAAATTGAAGATCTAAACTTGAAAGGTGGAACAACAAAGCTTTTTATAAGAGAACATAGGAGAATATCTTCACGACTTTGATGTAGGAAAAGATTTTTTAAATAGGGTGCAAAAAGTTCTATCCATAAAGGAAACAATTGATAAATTGGGTTACAGCAAAATAAGAAAATCTGTTCATCAAAGGCTTCCTTATGAGCATAGAATGGCAAGCTATTGAGTAGGAGAATATATTTGCAATCTATATATATTTATTATATCTAAAATATAATAAAAAGATAATAGATAATTGGGAAAATATTTGAATAGATACTTGTAGGAGGATATCCAAGAGCCCAATACACAAATGAAAATTATTCAAGTTTGTTAGTTATAGGGAAATACAAATTAAAACCACAACTTTTATTTTCATGTTTGCCATATGCTACCCACGAGAGTGGCTTGGTTAAAATGAAAAAGATAGACAACATGAAGTGCTGTCAAGGATGTGGGGCAATTAGAGCTCTCACACACTGCTGATGGGAGTGTGAAATTGGTACAACCACTATGAATGATCATTTGGTGGTATCCTAAGTTTGAATGTGAACATAGATAAACTATAACTCAGAAATTCTCTCCTTGGGGTTTGCCTGGTGGCATAGTGGTTAAGTTCGTGAGCTCTGCTTTGGCGACCCAGAGTTTGCAGGTTATGATCCTGGGCATGGACCTATGCACTGCTCATCAAGCCATGCTGTGGCAGGGTCCCACATACAAAATAGACAAAGAATGGCACAGATGTTAGTTCAAAGACAATCTTCCTCAAGCAAAAAGAGGAATATTGGCAATTATGGATGTTAGCTCAAGGCCAATGTTCCTCACTAAAAAAAAAAAATTCTCTCTTAGGTGAATGACCAACAAAACTGTTTATGTATGTCCATGAAAATATATAAACAAGTGTGTTCATAGTCCCAAACTGGAAACAACCTAATGTCCATAACAGTAAAATGGATAAATATATCGTAGTATAGTCATAGAAGAGCATTCTGCACAGCAATGACAATGAATGAACTGCCACCACACATCACACACTATATCACTGATCATTTCACACTCATGATATTTCATAAAGAAAGCCAGGCACAAAGAACATGCACTAAGTGACTCCATTTCTATAAAATTGAAAATCAGGTAAAGTCATTCTATAGACTTTGAAATCATATAGTTAAAGCCTCTGTGCTCAAATGGCGTGAAGGAGACTTCTAGGGTGCTGTTAATATTCTGTTTCCTTATTTGAGTGCTGGTTGCAGGGGTGTGCTCTCTTTGTGAATATTCAAAGAGCTGTGCTCATTTGTCAACTTTTTTGTATGCATGTTATATTTCAAGAAAGTTTACTCAAACTTTCTTCCAAAACAAAACAAATCCATAAAAAAATAAAATGGACAAGGAGAGTGCAAGAAGAGAAATTATAGCCAAATTTTACTTATAAAGATAGAATCAAGAATTCTAAAACAAGTAGAAACTTTGTCTCAGCAGTTTATTAAAACGACTACAACCTAACTAAATAGGATGTTCCCAGGTATGCAAAGGGTTTGGTGATAAGAAACAAGGGAGGAAAATGACATTGGGAAATTTGTACAGGAACATCAGATGAGGCTGCAAATTTAAAACAGTTTAAGAACAAATAAGGCATAACTTTAAGATTTTATAAGATTAGGAAGTGAGTACACTGATGGTTATCATATTATTTTCTCTTTTTTCTGTATATTTGAAATATTCCACAATAAAATACAGAAAAATCTCCATAAATTATATTTTATGAGATACATCCTATTATTGGAATAGGTGAAAAAATCAATTGATGTTTCAATAGATGCATACAAATATTTAATAAAAGTAAGCATTTACTTTTGGTAAATATACTCTGCAAAGCAGATGTGTAAGGGGAAGTCCTTGAATTTGATGAGGCAAAAACGCCAAATTCTACAGTGTATATAGTATTAACTATTAGGATTATAGAGGCATTCTCATTAAAATAAAGAGCAAGAAAAGGATGCTTATTATCTTTTTTCCCTTTTCAACCTTATCCAGGACGTCTGAACCAATGAATAAGAAAACACAATAAAAAAGAAGTAAGTGATATAAGTATTGGAAGGATATAAACATTTTCTTTCTTCAGGCAATGTTTTCCTCCAAGGATAACCTAAGATAATCTGTAGAAAAATTATTAGAACTAAAATAAGAGTTAGGTAAAGTTTCTAGATAAAAAAATCAACACCTTTATATCAGCAACAAGCAACTAGAAAATATTATAAAATCTTCCAATTCACAAAAGCACAAAACTGCAAGTCACCTATGAATCAGCCTAACAAAAGACCTCTCTGGGAAAAAAATCACAAAACATTATTGAAGAACATGAAAGAAGATGCAAATAAATATTATATTTTTGGATTGGATAAATAAATATTATTAGCATTGTCAGTTCTCCCAAAATTAGTTAATAAATTAATACGATTCTGAATGGAATCATAGCTAGGATTTTTGTGGAAACATACAAGCTAATTGTGCTATTTATATAGATACCAAGAGGTTAAGAACACGTCAAGATAGTTTTGAACAAGAATAAGGACTTGGAGGTATTCAGTATCAACACTTTCTTTTACAACGTAGTAATTAAGATTGTGGTACAGTACAGGGATATAAAAATAGACCAATGGAATATACTAGAGAGATCAAAAACAGATTCACATGTATGTATATTTGATATATGATGGAGGTTATGTACAAATCAATCAGATAAAGAATTAAGTCATAAAATGTTCTGGATAAATAATTATCCACATGAAAAGCAGATAAAATCAGATCGATACCTTATATAATTCACAAAGATTATTCCCAGTTGGAGTAAAGAGTAGGGAAAGATTTCTTGAACAAGATACAAAAAAGCACCGACTAAAAGGAAAAGGTTGATACTGTTATTACGTTTAATATAAATATCCCTGTAAAAAAAAAAAAGACATCATAAAGTTAAAAGCCAAGCACAACCACTTAGCATTAGTTTCCAAAATTTAAGAACTACTAATCAGTAAGAAATAGGCAAATAATTCATTAGGAAAGTGGTCAAGCAGTAATTCACAGAAGTGGAAATCTAAAAGCTCAATTATGAAATGAAAAGGTGTGCAAACTCAGTGATAGTCTAAATAGAGATTAAAAACACTGATCACACTAGTGCTGGTGGGGCACAAAGAAACTAGAACTCTCATACACTGCCAGCAGAAGTGTAAATTTCTACAACCATTTTTTGAGATCATTTTGTCAATATTTAGGTAACTTCAATATGAATATACTCTTTGATTGAGCTATTCCAGTCCTAGGTAGATACCCTAGAGAAACTCTAGCTTATGGACAGAAGGAATTGTGCATAAGAATGTTCATAGCAGCATTGTAGAACAAAACTTATCAATAAATCAAAAGACTATAGAGTTGAGTGGACAAAGCAAGTTCCACAAAAGGATCTGTATAGTGTGACATTTAATAATCTTTGAACACTTGGAAAGCTAATCTATACAATATTATAGATGCATAAAGTTGCAGTAAAAATGAGAGTATGAGTGTAAAATGACCAGGATTGCATAATTAAAAGTGTTTTGTTATGAGAGACAAGGGAGGGAAATGAGATTAGGGAAAATTTTAGAGAAACAGCAGATATGTCTATAAATTTAATTTAAAAACATATAACACAAATAGGGCATAATGTTAAAATTTCATAAAGTTGAGTGATGTGTACACAAGTATTTATTATATTGATTTGTGTGCTTTCTGATTGATTGAAACATTTCACAAAAAAGAAACAAAATGTAGTATATATTGTCCTAAATCTTTGTGATATATAGAGTTAACAATACACCAAGTATTAGTTATATACCATTTATTAGATTAAATACACATGTTATTAAATGGTGAGAACAAATAGAAGAAAGCTTGTTCAGCAGGTCAGGATTAAAAAAATAAGCCGTCTTCTGGATCTTCTTACCGACTGCAATTCACTCGCAGTTATTTTCATAATGCCAAACACGGACAACACAGTTGGAGATAGACACAGCACATACAGACAAAGCTGTTTCCATTAAGATGAGCATATACTGAAATGTAGATTGTCAAATCATAGAGCCCAGGTTACACGACGTGTCTGGATTTGTGATTTGTTTGGAGAATCTTCGCCGGTATGTGTGGAGTGCACACGTACAATACTACGAGGCATTGCAGTGCGTGCTGGTAATGAAGTAACTCTGACAGAACTCTCAGATTGCTGTATATCCTGAATTTCTCTCTCAGATTCATGAAGGATGGTCAGTGAGCCACAACAATTGATGGACTGCTTGTGTTGTAGGACAGAGAGGATTCCTGGGGAAAAGAGAAGCCAGAAGAGGGTGATGAAACAATGGAGAGTCATGGAAGAATTTCTCTCCCTGTTGGAAGAACTTCTCTCCCTGTTCTTTCCCTGTGTGCCAGAAGCCCAGTGGGCCCCTTTGAACTGCACTTTGGTATGGAGATGCTTTAGGGGAAGAGACTGGAAGTGTATAAAGAATAGCTCAAATGCTGCTCAGCTCAACAAAATTGAGGATTCTTTCTGAAAGAGGACATGCTTCTGAGTTAGGAAGTACAATTCCAAATGAAATTTTAAAGACTTCTTAGGACAAGAGGGTCTCCAGTGTTGGTGGGTGGCAGTTTAGCATCAGATATTGCTTCTCTCTGACCTCACATTGCCTTGGCACTACACTGTACACCCAGGGTCACTGCCCCTCTCCACATAAGTGAACATTCTGTATCAGCCGCTCTACTTAGTCATGACTTTGTTGGTTATTGCTGCCCTAAAGGGGCACAGTGTGAAAGACAGTAGAAAAGGTGGAAATGAGGAGCTGCACTCTGAAGCAAGCATATCGAACATCTCACATAGCCCTAATCTCCAACTTTATCCTTGTAGGAACTGTCCTTGGAGAATGAGTCCACTTCAACTTTAGCCTTTTAAAATGCAAGGGTTGGCATTTTTTCCCCCATTCCCTTTTCTTACCTTTTCATTCTCCCCTCTGTCAGGGGTGAATTGGTTCTTATCACCCATCAAAGGCCCTGAAGACACTCACCAGAGACAATAAAGAAGAAAACATTTAAGTAGGCAGTGAAAATGATCCAGGTGATCCTGTAACTAGCATAGTACACGGATTGACCTTGCCTTAGATTTCGGCGATAACGTAGAAGTGCACAGAGCAGAAGGATACCTAATGTCCAGGCAAAAGGAGAAAAAGTCCCTTCTGAGGAAATTTGGTTCTTTTATTCAAGTCTTAATCCCAGATATGCCTGACTTCCAAGCCTCCACCCTATACAGCTGCACCTTGTTCAAAGACCAATCCCACCTCAGTGATGGATCCAATTCAGAAGCTGCATTTCTGACCCAAAGAACTGGGAAAGCCCAATTAGTCAGACCCATAGCCTGGACCCACAAACCACGTATACCTCCAAGCCTGTGTTAGGGGAACCAGGAAGTTACCTGAGAGGAAACTGAGGAAGACATTGACGAAGAGGACAAGTTTACTTTGAGGAAGCAGATAGGTAAATTCCAAACCCAGGAACATGTTATGGAAGAAGGAAAGGGACAGGACCCAAATCATCAGAATCCTGACCACTTTCAGGTTATCTGTTGGAAAGCAGAAGCTGTATTGAGAGAAGGACAGATATTTCTTCTAGGCTCATTTCCACCTGGGGGCCACAGATCTCTAGGTAAAAATGGGACTAGGGTGAAAAATTTGACTAAGTAATACACAGGGAAGGGAGGAAAGTAAAAAGAGACAGGGAGCTTTAAGCTGAATGCGAGAGAGTAGGAGAAGAAACTGTTTTCTATGTTGGTGTCTCTGGAAGTTTCTTTCTCTTCTACTCTTTTTTCAGAACTCATTTCTTATTAAATACTGCAGTCAGTCAAGTCCACCTCTAGGGGCACTATGACCTACTTTCCTTGCTACCAGTTACCTTTTTGTATACCTTCATGTCCTAGATGAGCTGACCCCTCTGCTGCTACTGGCAAAGCGTCTCAACTGCCCAGCAGTTAAGTCTGTGAGCCTCTAAACTTTTCTCTGAAACAGGCAAATGGTGAGATTTTGGAGTCGGCCTTGACTATGTTGATTACGAAAGTGGGCACACAGCAGGGGTAAGTTGCACCAGAGAATAATGGGTAATCTGGTGAGATGAATGGAGGTCAAGCAAAAATGAACCCTCCCTCTCTACCTATCTGTTTCCATAGTATAGTTCTGACCTTCTGGCCAAACAGAAGTGCAACATATCCATGGACTGTGGCTTATCGTATCGTTTTTTGTTTCGAATTTCAGTTCAACCCATTCTTCTATGATGATTCCTACTGCCAAGAAGACTAAGGCCCAGGAGGAGAACAACATGTTGGTGGCCTGGACATTTCTAGTTGATATATGCACCATCGCGAGTGGGGATTTCAAACTGAGACCACCACCAATGTCTCACACGTGTCTTCTCTGATCTGATGAGTCACAGGAAGAAGGGCAAAATGCAGACTTCTAGTGATTGCTGAGGCATTGACAGAGGCAGAAGCTGAAGTAGCCTATGGAACAGAGAAGATAAATCCCACTCTTCACCACTCCTATATCTGGGCTGGCCTGTAAACAGGGCTGCTAACTGCCGTGGAATCATCTATTGGTTTGACCCTTGACCCTGAGGCCTAGTGCAGTGGAAGGACCAAAGGGCTCAGAGGTCCTGAGAAAGCTGTCAGATAGAGAGGGAGATATAACATCACATAGAGAGAGAGCTAGCAGATATAGGGATAACTAGAGGCCTTGAAAGAAGTTAAACAGGTATGACTAAAGAGGGCCAACTTTATTATTTTTTTCTTAAAATATAGAAAGCCTATTAATATAAATGAAGTGCTATTTGTCGACATGAAGAAGACCTGCAGCCAAGTCTGCCCTCTCGCTGGACATGAGAGCTTCTTTGATGTCAACTTCTGTAAACCAGTCCTAGCTATTCTCTGCCTCCACTTCTGAGCCCCAAGTTATCTAAGAATGCCATTTTTGCCTTGGTGGGTCCCGAGGTAGCTCTGGGACCTGCAGGAAATGATAGAGGAGGACAGAATGATAGTGGCTATTCTGCTGTGTGAGTCAGTGGTCTTTTTGCCAATTTTAGAGTTAGAATTCTATGTTCCAAGATTAGTTGATATTAGGTAGGGATCACTGGAGAGCAGAAAGAATTAAAGGTCATTGAAATGAGCAGTCAGCTACCTTGCATCGTAAAAGGGAATGACCATTCAAAATTTAGGATGTTTTGGAAAAACTTGTGTCTTCATTTCGAGAGCCTAAAGAAGTTTAGTTAGGCAAGCATCTAAGAAATAGACCAGCAGCTTGAAATCAAAAGAACTGACCTGATACACTGAACCATTGCAGTCCAATATCATTTATAAGGCATAGACAATTATTTCCTGTCAAAATTCCCTTTGTAACTGCAGAGAAAACATTTTTGGATTCCTTGAATGGGCAACCATGGTATGCACTAAGCTCAGAGTCAGAGGACTTGTACTGAATTTCAAAAAGGAACTTTACTAAACTGAGATAAAACTAATCTCAAAAGTCCTCTGTATGCCTGTTTTTTTTTAATTTTTATTTTTTTCGGATGTACATCATATTTCGAATTCTATGTACATTACATCATGTTCACCGCCCGAACACTAATTATAGTGCATCCTCTCACATGTGAGCCTAATCACCCCTTGTGCCCTGGCCCCCCCTTCCCCTATGGTAACCACCAGTCCAATCTCCAATGCTGTGTTTTTTTTTTTTTTTTTGGCGCTTTTATCTTCTACTTATGAGTGAGATCATATGGTACTTGACTTTCTCCCTCTGACTTATTTCACTCAGCATAATACCCTCAAGGTCCATCCAAGTTGTCACAAATGGCCGGATTTTGTCATTTCTTATGGCTGAGTAGTAGTCCATCGTGTATAAATACCACATCTTCTGTATGCCTATTTCTTTGACCTTATTGCAGGCCCCGAGATTGCTGTTTTCTTTCATTGCCTCCAACATGCTATGCTGTCTCTCTTCCAGACCTCTGTACACATTCTGTTATATTTTATCTTTTTGATTTTTTAAAACAATGCTCAAGTATTTAATCTTACAAGGGAGACTTTGTGGTTAAGAAAATGGACTCTGGATCCCAGCTTTAAATCCTGGCTCTACCACTGAGCAGCTTTGTGGTCTTAGAAACAATAATGCTTCCTATGGAATAAGGATTTTGTAAAGATTAAATGAGTTTAGAGACGTAAAGCACTTAAAAGAGTTCCTAGCACATAGCACATGATATATAATCAATTGCCTTGGTATTAATTTGGAGTCTCTGGAAGGAGACTCTGAGGCAGAGATTTGTGTGTGGCAGTTTATTGGGGAGTACACCCAGGAGCCACACCTGTTAAGTGTTTGAGGGAAGCAGGCTTTGAGCAGAAGTTGAACTGAGATGTAGTTGCAACAGAATAAGTGTTGGCCAACCCTACCAGGATCCCTGGATCTGGGGTGGTCCTTCAGAGTCATCTTGAATGGAGCAAGAGAGCTCAGTTTGTCATGGAATGTAGGCTGCCCCTGGAGTGGTATCTCCCTTCTGTGTCAAGGGAAATTCTTGTATCTCTCAGGAACTGTAAACCTCACAGTCAACATTTCTGGTAGCTATGGGAATGAACTCCCATCGTTTATCACTCGTATATCAGGGCCACCTTGCTGTTAGAGCTGCCAACTGCCATGGAATCATCTATCGGTTTGACTCTTGACCCTTGCGTTCTAGTGTAATGGAAAGACCAAGAGCGTAACAGGCAGCATGCCATGACAACTTATATTATTACATTCTTACATATTGATGCTTTTATTTCTATGCAATAGATCCTTAGGAATAGGATTCCTGGGCTGAAAGATTTATGTCTCTTTTAAATTTTGATAGATAATAGCAAAGATATAAAGATGTATCCAGATTAGATAAACTTATAGGATGTGAGGGATTTGTCTGATACAGATCAAAGAAGAAATCCTGTTTCCAGCTAAGGAGAGTAGTAGTCAATGATGCCATTAACTAAAACGTAAAATATGAGAGGAAGCATAAGCCTGGTAAGGAAGAAGTAAGTACTGGTTTGGGTTAAGCTTTGCCTACAGGACATATGATAGACAGAATTTAGCTCTGGAACTTGACAACAGATTAGAGGTTTTCAGCCTAAGGATGGCAATTGAAACAGGTGTGCATGTCACCATGTAAGGATATTGCAAAGGATGTAACAAGAGGTAGAGGAGGAAATTCTGGAGAACATCTGTACTTATGAGAAAGAGGAAGAAGAATTAGGGAGAAGGTAGAGAAATAGAAATGCTGCTGAGGAATTACAAAGAGAATAGAGTTTTAAGGAGAGATTGGGCAATGGTATCTAATGCTGCAGAGAAATCAAATTAGGTGGGAGCTGAACATATGTCAATTTGACAATTAGAATGTTGATGATTTCGGTCACAGTACTTTCAGGAGAATGATGGGACAAGAAGTAGAAGAGAGAGATTTATTTATTTTTTTTAGACAGGCAACTAGATTAAATAAATAACAAACAAGGGAAAAGGGAAAGTAGAATTGCAGCTTTGAGGGGGAAATGTGCAATTTTGAAAAAGTAGAGAATAGTGGAATGATTCCCATGTATCCTTCATCCAACTTCAGTGATCAGCCCCTGAATTATTCTGAAACTGTCCCAGAAAATTTCATCATCTTTAAATATTTGTTTGTATTACTAAAAAATAAGACTTGATTCCCCCCCACCTCCATTGCTTTGCTTGGTCTCTTTCTCTCTTTTTCTTCTTAATCTGGTTTATTAGAGGGTTACCAGTTTTGCTAATCTTTTCGAGATCTCTTCACGTATTTAGCCATTTGAAAACATTATTTTTAATGTATTTCACTACTTTAAGCTTTTACCTCATTATTTCTCTTTTCCTACTAATTTTTTTTTGGTTTTATCCCCTGATTTTCTTAAGATAGTTTAAAATTCTTCTTTAATATGCCAGGATTTAGAGCTGTATCTTTTTCTCTGTGCACTGTTTGCTATGTCTCATACATTTTTTTCTACACTTTAAAAAATAGATTTTTTAAGAGCACTTTTAGGTTCATAGCAAAAGTGAGCAGAAGGTCCAGAGATTTCCCATCTACCCCCTGTCCCCACACATGCATAGCCTTCCCCATTACCAACATCCCCTACCACAGGGGTACATTTGTTACAATTGGTGAACCCACATTGACACAGTTCACATTAGGTTCACTCTTGGTTATGTCTCATGCATTTTCACATGACTTTTTCTCCATCTTGTTTCTTGTTAAACAATTTCTGATTTTAGTTTTTATTTCACCATTGATTCAGGGATTATATGGGAGGGATTCTCTTAATTACCAAGCAGCTATGAATTTTAAGTCGCCATTTTTCTAATTTTTTCTTTGTTAAAAAAATGAATTACAATAGGAGTATAGTCTGAAAAAAATTAATCTTTGAATTTGTTAAGGTTTTCTTTGTGGCCAAGCACATGATTAATTTAGAATATTCCATAGACAAACAAAAAATAAATGTCTTATACAAAGAATTGACTTTATATATGATGCAAAGTTGTATAAACCACTTGCTTATTGATTTGCTCAATTCTTCTTTGTCATTATTATGTTTTGATCTGCTGGAATAAGTCTGATTTTGAAAGAAGTATGTTGGCATCTCTTTCTATGGCTGTAGCTTAAATAGATTGTCTCTTCTACTTCATTTTTGTATTGGTTATAGTTTGTATATAGAAAGTCTCTTGATTATAGTATGTTAATTTTATATCTCTGTCTCCTACTGAATTCTCTTATTGTAAATTATTTTGGCTGTTTTCCTAGGTTTTCAAGTTCTGTTTCATATGTTCTTAACATAGATATAGCTTTACTTCTTTCTTTATAATTCGTGTGTCTTTGTTTCTGCTTGATTCTTTGATTTGGCAGAGACCTGCATTACAAGATTAAGTAGTAGTGGCAATAGCAGGTTGCTTTGCCCTTTTCCTGACTTAAATTGGAGCAGTGTTTCTGTATTCTGATAATATATACTCCATCTTGTAAAGGAAGTAGCCATTGATTCTTAGGTCATTGATTTTTTAAAAATCAGATTGGATGTTGAATTTTGTCAAATGAATTTTTGGTATTTATGGAGATGAACACATAATATCTTTTCTTCTTAGATCTATTAATATGATTAATTATATAACTGGATTTCCTTATATTGTGCAATTATTCCATTCCTGTAGTAAACCTCATTTGGATATAACATTATCCTTTAATGTTCAATTGCATTTTGTTTTTAGTATTTTTGCATTGGTAGGTGTAAGTGAGGGGAGATACAGTGAATATCAAGTTCTAAATCAATGTCATATTCATTTCAACACAGGAATACAGAAGTATTCTTTCCTTTTCCAAGCTCAGGAACAGTTTCTAACATTGAGATTGTCAGGTCTTAAAGTTGTCGTAGAACTCTGCAAAATCATCTGTGCCAGTTGCTTTTATGAGCGGTAGCTTATTGACAAGTTTCTCTATTTTTTTTTAAATAGAAAATAACCTGCTTAAACCGTCTATATCTATAGGGGTTAATTTTTTATAAAAAATATTTTCCTA